TCTTCTTCTTCTTCTTCTTCTTCTTCTTCTTCTTCTTCTTGTATTTGTACTAGCATCGGCCTTCTTGATTTATAATATTTTTATTATTACTATCAGTATTATATTATCATTATTATTGTTGTTATTGTTATTATCATCATTGGTAGGAGTAGCATTTGTTGTTGCTGTTGGTGTAGTTGATGTTGTTGTTGTTGTTTTTGTTGTTGTTGTTGTTTTTGATGTTATTCTGTTGTATAGTTCTCATCCCTCGGTATTTGAATAAATGGAGAATAATAAAAGGCATGTCGAAGATAAATAATTTGTCTATTGATCCCAAGGTTGTTTAGTGAAATGCCAGTTGGTCTAGGTCTCGAAAATTGAAATACCTGTGAACTCGTGTTGTCGACCCCCATGTGCAGTCACCCAGGGCCCACTTCTGAGTGCGACAACAAATAATCGTATAGTTAGGTAGGCCTACATGGCCGAGAAAAGCATAACATTGATTAATAAATTGTCCCAGGTAGTTTGGATTTGAGCTCAGAGAAGAATTTCGACGTAGCAACCGTCATAATATAGTGTTAGGAAAAAAGCAAGATCGACAGAAACAATAGAGGAGACAAAAGAAGAAGGACGTACAAATGTCGTTTTCCAACCACCTTATATAACCATGTCCACCATAGACTGAGGCCCATGCCGTTTGACTAGAACTAGAAGTCATACCCTTGTTCAGTGAAATTTCAGTCGAAAGCATTGTCCGGTTGGCTGCATGGTTTCCATGTCGTACTAATTACTCCGTTTATTTTTGTTTGCGTTTACCCGCGAAATTCTCATATTTTAAAAAAGGGGCAATTTGGAATGGGTTTTTTTCTTTTCTTTTTGTCAATAGCAACCAAAATTGGGGCGTAGCCTTACCGACAGTTAGCTCAGTTTCTATCATGGTGGACTATGGAGCGCTTAGCACGGATTCGAATTCCCAACGGGACGCTCTGAACTTAGCTCAGTTTCTATCATGGTGGACTATGGAGCGCATAGCACGGATTCGAATTCCCAATGGGACGCTCTGAATTTCGGGAGTTTTTAAGGCTCTCCGCCCATTTGGCTCGATCCTATCGGAGATGGATGTGAAACTCGAAAATGCCGCCTCCTAATTAACCATACAATGCTGAGAGGAGCATTAAACCTGTACAATGGCAATCACCGACGACTTCGGTCATATTGTAGTGCATTTATTAATGTCCCCAAAGTACATTGTTTTATTTTTGTTTGGTGAGTTCAGTGCTTTCCATCATATTAGCCCTGTCCCAGTAAATCCAAGGTCTCTTCAAAAAGTAAACTGCACGATATAAAATGGTCAGAACTTATTCACTCCCTGTTGCCTGCCAGTCGTGAGGGCGGCCGGACATCCGTCTTACTCCCCGTCATCGTCTTTAGCCAAAAGTAGCCAGCCATCTTCTTTTAACCCTATATTATATCTCTGGAGAATACGAGGAGGACCACGAGTCGGCTCGAGGACTGCAAACACCTCAGGGTCCACTCACATCTGCCCGCTGTTGCTGGTACTGCTGCTGCTGCTGCTGCCGCTGCCATCACCGTCCCGCTACCACCGTGGCACCACCGCTGTGCTGTGCTGGGGCTGACCTGGCGACGACCGTGCGACGACGACGACAACGACCTACTTTAGTCGGAACTCTGTTGTGCCGAGGAAAGAAAAGGGGAGTAAAAGAGAGAGAGAAAACCCGATGGAAGCTAGCGCCTACGCGCGTGGTCTGCTTGGCTCTGCTGCTAGCGTGCTCACGCACACACAGACACACATGCACACACACATACGCACACACTGACTTGCTCGCCGCCCGCGCGCCCCCAACGCGTGGATACGCCTATTAGTGCTACATTCGATCCCCCCATGATAAATTCATGACGCTCTACGCCTTTTGTTGACAGCAATCAAAATATATCTAAGCATCTGTTGTTGTTGTTGTGAGTGTGTGCGTGTATGTGTTTTCTCAACATCGGGGAGTGCGCTGTTGTTATTACTCTGCTGTGCTAGCGGTAATGCCTGCCCGCTGTGGTGGTGGTGGTGGTGATGGTGCTGTGTGTATCTCTGTGTCTGTGTGCTAGCTAGCTAGCTGGCCTTCTTGCCTGTGTGCTGCTTGTCGTGGATTCCGGCTCGTTTCTCAGATGATCCAACCCCCCCCCCCTCCCTTTCGTGGTCTTCCGCGAGGAGAGATGATTCCACTGTGGGGTTTTGGAGTGGACAGTTTGTGAGAAAGGCATCCGTAGAGTAGGAAGGACCACCCCGCTTTCTTCGCCACCACATGTATTAGCAGCACCACTGACAGCGTCGGGGTTTCGGTGCTGATATCGTATGGTGGTTATGTTGATGGTAGCGATAGTACGTTTCGGTTAGCATGTAGGTTGTCGTGCGAAATAAGTAGTTGATTCGCGATCATAAGGTTCTGTGTTTATAATGTGATCTTCCTCCCTCTGGGCCAAACGTAAAATTGTGGGAGGCGCCTAAATGCACACCGTCGTGGCGAGTGGTGAGTGTTCACCGCGTATTTGGATAATAATGTGTCTTCCTCCCTGTCAGTCGAATCGGGTGCCACGAGGGGGCAGTGTTGGTGGTCATCTGCTGCTAGAGGTCTGACCGGCTGTCCCAGGCACTCACTTCGGTGGTAACGTGATTCGTCATATCTAACCTATTGCCCTGGACTCCCATGCTTGTCGTCAAGTGGCTCCTTGTTGTGGATAATATTTACACTCAGGATATACAAGCTCACAGCACAGGTACGCTGAAATGCTATTGCAGGCCACACGCGTAATCTTTTTTTTTCGCAAGTCTTTGAATTGCTGTCACTGTTTTCTTATGACTGCCGAGAGCTGTGAGATCAATTTGGATCAGTAAAAATAATAGGTTGTAAGTAGGTTTAATTGTTCACCATCTTTTCAACATCGAAATTAAGAGTAGGTTACATTCTTCTGTCATAGCACAGGTTACTGAAGGACAGTCTATCGTCAATCAGGGCCTGCATAAAATCTATGTCTTTTCCTCTCAGCATCGGCTCTTGTTATTGCCTAGACGGTTTGATCCAACGACCAAAGCCGAGTTAATGAGGAAGGAGCAGCCTCCGTGTTTAAGTGAATCTACCAGTGTCTCACCATGCTATTTTGCTGTGTACAAGAGGAGAATCTATCACACTGCTAGGTCATCAGACGAGGACGTGTGTGTACTGGCCAGAGGAGGCCTCAGGCAAAGAACGTCATCCGGACACTTCCTGGATTCATTCCCGCCGTCCTGAAGAGTACAGTGATACAAATAGCGTAGCTCACTGGATTTTTCCCGGAGGTTTCACTGGATATATTATACACTTTTCTACCAGGATTTCTGTTTTACGGGTGCTTTTCGGTTGCTGGTAATTGTGGCTGGGTGAGTGGTGGACTCCTTCAATTGTAGTTCGGTGGGTAATGGTTTGACATGAATTTGCATGTTGTGTGTTTTTCTGTCTGCTACATTTATTTTATCTTTTCATTTAACATATGAAGAGCAAGCAGAAAAAAACAAGGGCTGTCACTTTTTAGTGTTTGGAGAAAAACACAAATGAAATGCTTGACATCCTACGTGTTTTCTATAATAAAGCTTATTTTTCCAAGCCTGATATTGGGCAACTCATTTGGCTTTAGTCCTGGAAACTTAGATTGGCCAAAAGAGGTGCAGAAACACTTTCCAACCAATGTCACAACTCACGTTATCTAAAAAAGGGACATACATACACATAAGACATGTTGATTTCATCTAGTCCTCAGACTCCAAAAAACAGGATGCTATCCATTCAACTTGCCCTACGCCTAACCACCGTATTAAAAGACTCGTATTTAAATTCCTCTGATCAGTTTTGAAACCTTTTTTATTTGGTTCATCTTCATACTCGTTGATTAGCCACACGTTTCTGCGAAGATTTCTAAAATTATGTACATTGTGCTACGAGATTCTTTTAAGCTTTTGGAAAAGAATAGGTTTAAATGAGATTATGCTTTTTAAAGTAATTACTCCAGTATTAATGATTTTTTGTTTTTTTTCTGTATCGCCAGGCCCATTGTTACAGATTCTCAACGAGAAAGGCAAGTCCAACCGCGGCCGCTTGGGATCATTTAGCTCTTCTTTTAAAGAGAGCAAGAAAGAAGTGGTGCGCCAGGTGTTCCTTTTTACCAACCACATCCTGCTCACCACAAGAGCTTCCAATGGACGCCTACATCTCGCCAAGGTAAAATGTTACTCTCTTTCTTCTCCTCTAGGGGTGGTTGTTGAGCGCTCTCGTGTGGTCTGTTTCTTTGAGTTCTGGTCCATGTTTCTTTTGGTCCTGTTTCCAGGGTGGGCAACCTTTTCATGCTATGGGTCGTATCTCAGTTGTTTATACTTTTGTTTGTTTGTTTTAGTAAAGTGTTTTACGGCGCTCGCAACTGCATAAGGTCATATGAGCGCGCGGGACACACCTAATATTTTCAGTTGGTAGGAAATTTTGAATTTTGCCCGGATGGCGGCTGAAGCCTACTCTTATCGATTTTAGACCACCAAGGGATCTTTAACGTGCGCAACTTGCACACGTGCCCTCCGAGATTTTTCACCCTTGTCCAAGAAGGCTAGGTGTAGATCTTTCCTACCAGAAGATCAGGGGTGTGGCAGAAAGACAGCAGTAAGGAGGAGCCAAGGAGTAGCAGTAGAAAGGCTGCAGAAATAGTCAGGAGCCCAGAGGAGGGGGTGAATGGGTAGGGGCAGAAAATGGAAATGAAAGCAGACAACAGAAAATTGCTAGAGAGCAGGAAAGGAGGTGAAAGGAGACAATTTTAGAGAAGAAAATTTTTCGGTCGCTACCCGGATTCGAACCCGGGACCTTTGAATGAGAGGCCAACACCTTAACCTCTAGGCCACGACAGTCCCCGTTTATACTTTGAGGGGCCATACTACAAATGTGGACATTCAGGTAACAGTGAACTAGAAGTAAATAGCTGTATGTGGAGACCTTTGAAAAGGCAATGAAATGGAAATAATTATAATTTACTTAATTTGCCCTTGGTAAAATGAGAGATTGGTCTGTGGAAAAGAGTCGAGGATTAATAGGTCACTACCTGGGTATACTTAAGTAAGGCAAACAAAGACAGATTCAAGTCTCCAAAGGCAGTATCCTCTAAAAATCCATGAAGGATCAAGGAAATAAAAGCTTACTTCGGAAAACATAAAACTGCACTGTTCAAACAGTTCAGACTTCTTTCAGACATTTATTTTTTGACAGTTTTAGTGGCTAGCTATGATATCCTGTGGTCTGGACTCAGGCTTATCAGAATATTTTCTTCATCCCAACATCATAACACAGTCAAGTACATGTCAATGTTTTGTACCCCTGTCTAGACATATTAGATAATTTCGGAGTCAGGCTGCTTTCATTATCTTTCTAATGTGGAAACTGAACACACAGCTTTTTATTTGCGCCGAAAAAAGCCAAACTGATACATTGCAGACTACTGTACATGTTCTTCTTAGTACTTTCTAAATTCTAACACAATTGGTTCTCACGAGCACTTTGATGGCTTGGGTTTTTTTACTTCTTTCCAGTGTTAAGTTACTATTATTCTTCTCTATTCTTGTGGTTTTATAGCTATAATTGGGATGATTGATAAACAATCTAATCAGAATCCAAGTTCTGTCTTCTTATGCCCTCTGAAAAGAAATGTAACGCTGGATCATAAACTTTAAAAAATTTTTACATCCTTTTTTTTATAAGACATTTATTGATAGGCCTCAATCTTTTTTTCACGTATCTATTCATGGGAGTTATAGTTTTTTTGAGAAAAGTATGCCTTTGAACTTCTTGAGGGCACAGTTCATTTCAAGTCCATTTTTCTGAACTGTTTACTTCAGAACCATATGTTTGCAGAAGAACCCACATGTCCACCTTCAAAACAACATAATTGTTGACACTATTGTGATTATGAAAATTAAGGGACAGACGATGTGTCTTGAACAAGGGGAACAGCTGTTGTCACAGTTTGCACAAAACAAGGCGATTCAATCCATGGCGTGAAGTCAGACAAAATTCTATGATATTTAAATCATTCGTACTGAATACACGAGTCGTCTTTGAACCATTGTATATTAAGTAGGATTTACGTTCTTTCGGGAAAAAAATTTTGACGGGGCCTCTGAATTGAAAGTGTGCCTCCAGTGTAGGTGTGTCCATGGTAAATTGGTTGGGAGCCTTAAGAACTTTTAAGACAACCCAAGTTCAAAAATGTGCTTTTGTTTTATCCAAACGTGGATGATTTACTTCATAGGCCAGCATGGTACCATCCCAGTTAATAGTGCTCTCCATTTCCTATCTTAACAGCCAATGTCTTCTCTGAAAAGTTCCTTTAACTTAATGGAACTTTACTACTCATGATGCTCATACTTCTTCTGATGCCTTCCGTCTTTGACCATGTCTTGATCATGATGCTTTCAACTTGCCAAAACTCAATCCCTTCTTCCATGACTTGCTTATGGGTTGTGAATGCTCTGGTGTGGTCTGCTCCTTCTTTTTAACTAGTCAAACCTCATTGTACTGCGCCC